CGACGCGCTGGACATGCCTGACTTAGAGTAATCTATAGGGAAGTTGGAAAAAATAAGTTCAGTGTATGACGATTTTTCTGGGAAAAGATAACATGAGTCTAGGTTACTTAACGCAGATCTATCAACTACTGCGGTTACAGATACATTACAACGGTTATTAAGAACCGAATGGTGACTATGGCCGCGTTCGGTTAATTAAAAAAACTGGGAACTAAGTGGTCTTACTTTCATCCCTCTTCTTAGGGGAAGGCGGATAAATTATTTAACAACGATCTATAGATTGCAGCGGTGACTTAAAGAGTCTAATGACACGGAACTACGATCGAGTTTGATAATGTGAAGAAAAAAAATGAGCGCTGTAATGGTTTATCTCTGAAGCGACTGCCTCTGGGAGGCGCTAGTGTCAGATGCCTGGTACCGCCGTGGAAATAAATTACTCGTAACAGAAAAAAGTAAACGGGCTGATTTTTAAAACGAAAATAAAGTATGGTTGCGACTTAATCAAGTCATGCAAGTGGGTTGCAAAAAAATACAAGGATTTCTGACAGCTCATTTATTAATCCCCACCCCACCATGCGTAGAACACACTGACTATCTTAAGTCAGGGGCCGCGCCATAACTCAAGCGGTTAGTCGCTGGTTTTCCACCGCGGCGGCCCGGGTTCGATCCCGGGTCTGGTCAAGTGGGATTTGTGGTAGACAAAGTGGCGCTGGGGCAGGTTTTCTACTAGTACTTCCGTTTCCCCTGCCAATATTCCTTCCACCAATTGCTCCACAATCACCCTCACCTATCATCTGGGGCTGGTACAATAGGCCAGAAGTGGCCTCAGTAAAAGGGACTTAGTCCCACCCCACTACCAATAAAAAAATCTTAAGTCAATGTAATTGTAGAAACCGAAATACGATGAATCAGTTTCTGTATTTATAATAACTTTCTCACTCCAAAATCTGTTTTCAACACGTCCACTTTCCAAAAATACTGAACATCAAGATATAAACGATATTTTTACCACCTGCTTGATCTAGGTTTGAAATGTGGATTGCTGCTTTGAGGGTCTTTCACACCACAGTCCGAACAGAAGTATTTAAAAAAAAAGAAGGGAAATATTTCTGTTCAGGAGGGATGAAAATGGAGAGCAATTTGGGATACTGTAAGATTTGGGGGTTTCACGGCGGTGACTATGAAGAATGCCGTCTTCTGGGATGTGGCGCCATGTAGATATTGTGTGAACCGACGTTTCGGAGGAACGCATCACCTTCATCTTCGGGGTAGAAAAATTCGTGAGCGAGAAACCAGCGAGAGCACGTGGCTGCAGACTGAGTCACCGGTCTAAAAACGCCCAGCTCGCAGATTTTTCTACCCTACAGATTGAGGCGATATGTTCCTCCGAAACGTTAGTAACACAAGATCTACATGGCGCCACATCCCAGAAGACGGTATTCTTCAATTTAGGATATTTTATGACAAAATCACTGTTTTAAGCCCATTATCCAGTGTTGTTCGGTTACTGAACTCTATAATGTTATGATGGGTCAAATAAGTAGCTCGAACGAGGCTGTAAACGCATGCATAATTCTGGGGGGGNGGGGGGGAGAGGCTTGCAAAGCGATCACTTACAACAATGGTCCCCAAACCTTTTTCTGGCGCCACCACTGAAATGCATATATGTATTACACGCACACTATATGCAGTTTTACCGTAATCATGATTCCCTCCCAAGAAAGTCATGCTATCTTCGCCTATGCTAACCACAGAAACAAGGAGTGTAAAGATCCGCTGGGAAGCATGGACCTGCATGTTTGAAATTAACTGACCCATCCTCAGCTGACTCGTCGATAGGCAACTCGCTAGTCACTTTCAGACTGAAGGGGATACGATATTTCGAATCAACTTCTGCCATTGTTGGAGATGTTTCCTCACACAGACGTGTCATTGCAAATCTCGGTGGCTAGTTGTGAGACTTTCAAGTGATCTCTTTTCATATAAATCCAGAATTCAGTGAGATACAATGCAACAAACTTCATTTTGAAAGATTTTGCAGGAAGGTTCCATAAGATATTTCTTGGATCACAGAAAGGTGAGTTATTTTTTTCACCGACTGTGACTGGAAATCTATTTCACATCCATTCATATTGCTGAAGAGATCGTTCTGGAACATGACCTTAAATTTCGTGTGAGGATTACTGACAGGCGTCGAAACTTAATGCTTAATTTCCTCAAATATGTAATCTCGTTCTTCTACGAGTCCCTCATTCGTATTCTTATTGAGAGGGGGTGAGTTTCCCCATGCACTTTTACTGGTCCATTGTGCGTCCCCCTTTAATTTCTACTGTCGCCATACCCTACCGGTAACGGTGCGTGCCATCAGCCCCCGTGGAGCCAACGAGGTCGGCCCCGGTACCTTGATGCTTCCCCCATCCACCAGAGGCATTGGAAACTACTTGGGCAGGAAACTTTTTGCCTAATTTTGCTCAGAGGTCTCCTAGAGACCTGAGGTTCTTTTACGTGCCGCAAATCTACGACACGAGACACACGGCTTAAAGTCCCTCCCGGAGGACTTGTTCCCTGAATTTTTCCGCCCTTAAAAATTCCACGAGTTCCCTCATGCTCACCACCATATTAGGGTGTCATCTTTCACAAAACTCTTCCATAGTGTAGTTTCTTTCATTACGGCCGAAAACATTCGAAAGAAATCGGAAAAACAGATGTATTTGGTTCTTGCAGAGAGAAATTTAGTCAAATACACATATCTACAGATATGATAGAAGAGCAAGCCACTTCTTACCTAAGAAGTGTTGATATCGTGGAGATCTAGTATCCCGTAAAAATCTGCGTACTACCTTAGTCCAAGGATAGCGGCTCCGTAGTCTAGGGGTAACGTTCCCACCTCATGACTCAAGATACACGGGTCGTGGAATTTTTAAGGGCGGAAAAAATTCAGCGGTGGGTCCCTGTCGTAGATTTACGGCACGTAAAAGATCCTCATGTCTCTAGGAAACCTCTGAGCAAAATTAGGCAAAAAGTTTCCCGCCCAAGTAGTTTCCAATGCCTCTGGTAGATGGGGGAAGTATCGGGTACCGACGGCCGACCTCGTTGGCTGAACGGGGCTGATAGCACGCACCAGTACCGGTAGAGTATGGCGACTGGTAGAATATCAAAGGAGGTTCAATGGGCGAGCTTTTAAAATGTCCATAACTTCCATCGTAGCTTGCAGCACAGTTTTGGTTCCACGTAACGCGATGCTGAAGTCTCTCCATGAGTGATACACTGTACAAAGTTCACGTGAGGATCAACTGCTGTGCCGGTTCAGCTTGAGAGCCCTTTCTGTAGCCCACACGATCCGCTGCTCCATCAGTACACAGGGCGACGCGGTGTCCCGATGAAGTATCTTCCGCTGTGAATTTGCTGAAAGCGGTAGGCAGAACATGAACTCTTCATCGAAAACAGCATCCGACGATTCGTCGATCTGAGGAGCAAGTTCTGGACTGCGTTTAACCCTGGCTTAATGTCTCCCGACACTGAGTCAGTGGGTTTCATTATTCTGTTATTCTCGAGAGGAATTGCCTTCAGAGCTTCGTCACATTTTTCACCATGAATAACTTCTCACATTTTCGTGGCTGCTGGACGCAATACTGTCTCCGTTGATATGAGGTTTCTTGCTTTTGGCTATGAACTATAAGACATCAAAAGAGGCTATAAGTGATTTTTTTCTAGGTAGAGGCTCAAGTTCTCATAAAGTTTGAATGTTTACGCATTTCTAGTAGCTTTATTTAAAAAATCTGTGAACGTTTATTCGCAAGAGATTGATATTTTGTTGTTGGGTGCAAATTTCCTGCACTGAAACTACACTGTGGACGGTAGAACCAAATGCCATTAGTCCGTCTCATGTTTTCTCACTTTCCTCCCTTCCCCTCCCCGCCATTTTGCTTGAGAGCCGACTACTGTAGAACTAGTTGCGCCCGATACATATCGAAATTATGTGAACGCTTTTGGATTGCTTTCCAAGACACGAATCAATGTTTGCACGACTGCACAATGCGTGTCTTACTATGTCAGGCTTCACTAAGGAACTGAAACCACACTAGTTTGGAATAACCACTGTTTCAACACATCGGCTTTGCATATCTTTGTCACCGTATAATTTAAGCCGTGCGACAGAGTCAGTTTCACACACACACACACACACACACAAACCATGTGCAACAATTAAATTCTAAGACTACCTTGAGAAAGTTAGACTACATTAAGTACTGCCAACTCAGCTGATTTTCACGGTTATTGCAAGTAAATTTATACAGAATTTCACCAGATGGTCATTCAGTTTTGGGGCCTTCCCAGTTTTTTTTTCTTGTGTACCATTTCGGTGCGCGCCACCTAGTTGGGGAATCACTGAAAGATGGACAGTAAGTACAATAAAGGTATGGATCTTAGGGGAAAAGGTTGTCTGAGTACATATTTCATCCAAAGTAGCGGTATTACTCGGTTTTTGGACTTCGTCCATCGTCCAGTAGTATAAATAACACTAAAAAATACGACGTTTCGGAAACTGGATGTTTCCTTCCTCAGGTGACGGCTTCACCTACTTGGGTGGGCCCGTTAGAAAGTGCTATCCCCAACCACTATTCTTTACAACACCGGATGATGGACAAAGTAAAAAAAAAAACAGTAATCCAGAGTGCTATACACCATCAACAGAACCCTTTAGAATCCATCCATCCAAACAAGTTCATCAGAAACATCCCCAAAAATTATACATAAGCGATGTAGAACTTTGAGGTTCTACAACAAAATCTAGATGAGAGAAGTGGTTGGGGATGGCTCAGGATTGTAGCCAAGGGCAGATGGTGGGACATGAACAGACCTGGGTGAGGATTATGTTCCAAGTAGCTGTATGGAATCTTCTAGTTCTACAACGAAAGAGTCAGGCTCTGCAGAAGTACCAGGTGCAAGGTGCTAGGGAGTGAGAAATGGAGTTGCAACAACATGTGAACATTTCTTACCGTACTCTCCATGGACGGTGCAGAGTTGCGTATGTGCGGGGCAGAGCTCCGGTTGCTGAGGGTAATATTCGTGGTAGTAGTCATATTGAGAGCAATACATGTCATTATGAGTTTCCACTGCCTGTCCTGCGACCATAGCCTTCAACATGGGACAATAACCAGCAGGAGGGTAGAACGCCTCCACAGCAAAGGTGTCAGCAAATAAGAGGCACAAAGATGACTAATAACGAAACTGGAAGTACAGAAGACGGAGTAGCCCGCATCGACGACAATTACGTAACACCGTGCTGTCCAATCACAGTCACTTAGCTTTAGGAGGGAGTAATATCACATACACGTTTAGATCATAAAGTCACTTATTTCAGAGCACCTAACGAAGCACTGATTTTATTATATTTTATAAAATGCTTTGTTATCGCTACCTGATACATAAATTACACTGTGGTGTAATGAATATTATTAAATAGAAAATAATAAAAAAAATTTTGCATAAATCTAACAACAATCCACCAAAACACTAATTAAAACTAGTTATATCACAGATGATTCCTGCTTTACTTATTTTAGTATTCGGCGATAATACACGTATAAATATTTCAGATTTATAGAAATTATAATGAAATTTAATGGCGTCACTTCACCCTGCTGAACGATCTGATACACTGAACACACACGCGGACAGGTTTCTTATCCAGAAGATATAAACTCGTCTGCTTGCTCGCTGTTGACGTTTCTTGATGCTCTGCTGTTTTCAGTTCTATACCAAAAAAGAACAAAAACGAACTAGTAAAACAATTGTAAAACCAAAACATAAGGAAATTATGAACACTGTTTAATACCGATTACAAATGTTGCTGCCAACCTTCACATCGGAAAAAATTAACTAGTTAACTTGTCCTTGTGCTAAATTAAGCATACGCTATGAAGACTTACATGAGTGAAGCTCCATGCATTCCCCACGCCAGCACTAACTGAAGATGGGTGGCCAACTTCAACGCCAGGGAAATTTAGAAAGAGGAAAGAGATTACGGTAACCACTAACAGGGGGGCTGGGTGGGCTACAGAGCCGACCTGGACACACTGGTCAAGGGGGAAAAAAATCCCTGCAGGAAAACGAATCATGACTGTCTAGCCAACAGCTCAGTAGTCACTATAATGTGTTCCGATCAACGGTATCTTAGATTTCGCAGTTTCAGTAGTAGTTAGTTAGTTAGTTAGTAATTGGAGAAGGTGGGTTTCCCCATGCACTTAGACCAGTATTGGTCCAGTGTGCTTCCCTCTATGATATTCTACCAGTATCTATACCCTACCGATACTGGTGCTTACCATCAGTCCCGACCAAGCCAGCGAGTTCGGCCTCTACTGGCTTAGCGGTATCTATAATGCTTCACCCATCTATCAGAGGCGTTAGAGACTACTGTTGGGCGGGAAATGTCCTTGAATTTGGCTCAGTGACCTCCTTAGGAGATATGAGGTTCTTTTACGTGCCGTAAAGTTACAACACGGGACCCACGGCTTAAAGTCCCTCCCGGAGGACTTGTTCCCTGAATTTTTCCGCCCTTAAGTCTCTATGTGAACCATGCAGCAATTCGCCTCATAAAACTGTGTGGCGTACGCGCACACGGGGGGGGGGAATTGTGCTACAAGCCAGGACGTCGCGGGGTCGATCCCCGATGAGGTCATTGGATTTTTCAATTGACCTAATCTTTCCAGCCGCACTATGACCCTGGGGTCGACTCAGCCTCCAACACAAATGAGCACCAGGTATCTTCCTCGGGGTAAAGGGAGGCTGGCGCCATCTGTGAGCCGACTGTCTAGAGAAAATGTGGGAGCCTGGACGTCTCACAACCCTATGGGCCTCCACAGCCTGTTACAGGGACAGCTTTACCTTTTTTATAGACACACATGGATATGCATTGGATCCTTCAGCTATACTGAATCTGACTAAAGAAATCAGTGACTGGCAAAGCATCTTATTTTGTTTCGTTGAGTGCAATGAGTCACACAAACGGTAGATCTACGTATTCTTGTTCGGGTGCCGCAAAATGTTAAAATCCCATTATAAGACTAGCAAGACGTCGAATTCCTTCCTTCAACAGCTATTTCCAACTTCGTTATCTGCGTCTTCTACTTAGAAAGCTGCGCAACTTTCTTCGTTCCAGATGGTTACGTACGTACTTGGTATACAACTTTTCTCCCGGTGTAACTTCTGTAATTGCAGTTTTTAAGCCATGTTCCTACGGGGGGGGGGCAGGAGGAGAGCACCAAATCCGTCTCTGTAGCAGTCGGCGAAAGAGCTCGAGATCCTGAACACGACTTATAGGCTGCCTGCATTCGTAGTCTATAAGTCACAACCTCAGGCCGCGCCACAGCTCAAGCGGTTAGTCGCTGGTTTCCCACCGCGGCGGCCCAGGTTCGATCCCGGGTCTGGTCAAGCGGGATTTGTGGTGGACAAAGTGGCGCTGGGGCAGGTTTTCTCCGAGTACTTCGGTTTCCCCTCCAATCTTCATTCCACCAACTGCTCCATAATCACCCTCACCATCTGGGGCTGGTACAATAGGCCAGAAGTGGCCGCAGTACACGGACTCAGTCCACCCCACTAGCAGATCCAGATGTCCCGGGTTCGATTTCCGGCGCTACCAGACTTTCTGAAAAATAGTGGGTCTGGAACGGGGTCCACTCAGCCTCGTGAGCATAAACGAGGAGATATTTCAAGGAAATAGCGGCTCCGGTCTAGAAAACCGAAATTAACGGCCGTGGGAATCCGTTGCGCTGACCACGCGACATCCTTTATCGGCTAAAGTTAGCACTAACTTCGCCGGCAAGCGCCCTCCGTAGTCTAGAGGTAACGTTCCCACCTCATGACTCGTGGTACGCGGGTTCAAATACCCGGCGGAGGTCGTCGAATTTTTAAGGGCGGAAAAATTCA